ATAAACAGAACATTCTATTGGATAAAATCCAGTTCTGAGATGAACGTGCTGCTTTCTACTTGTACCCACATCTGGTGCCAAAATGTTTGCATGACATGTACAAATGCAAGTAGACATTTATTTCTAATGTGAAGAAACTATTATTAAGAATAGGGTTGTAAGACAAACACTGATACAGTGAATTTCCAGAAGTTGGGACAAGCATCTTTAAGTTGGCAGCATTTGCTTTGGAGTCAAAAAATAAGTTTAATCGTATCACTTACCGGCAAGTCATTTCACCTTGCTGGGACGCAGTTTCCTCATCTGAAAAACAAGTCTTCTCCAGCTCCAAAAGCCTGCAAGTGGAAGTAGCCTGCTATTTTTATGCACTGCATTTAAAAGGTATTTTGAATAAATAGGCTCCTGAAAAAAAATAGTGCATAGATGTGTCTTGCAACTGAAACTTTAGTACACTCATATACAAAGTTTAAAGATGGCACATATGTTAAAGTAACTTAGCAATAAGTTGTTCTAAAACATGTTGTGGAGAAAAAATATATAAACAATTATAGACAAAATTATAAAGTGCCTGGTGTTTTAAAAGAATGTACGGTGAATACAGCAACCACTGCAGAGTCAGGAAGTATAGTGGTAACCAACCTATGATTTGCAGTATTTGTAAAATTTTTTTAAACTGTCTAAAATTGCACCATTTTCTTTTTATTTTACTTTTTTAACTACTACATAAACAGTAGTACAAGATGATTCCACAATGCTTTGTCATTATGTGTACTCGGAACTTTTAAGTCACTGGTCTAATACAGCCCTTTCATAAAATACAATTCATTTTGGTCTCCTCATTGGCAGTGCCAGAGTTGAAGATATTGGAATCAATATTATTACATATAAAATCCTGAGTATCTTAATTTTAATGTCTTTTATAACTACCTTGCTCAAATTTATGATTTACATAAATTTAAAGAAACTCTGATAGAAACTTACATCTTCTGTTTTCCAGGTTCCCAAGCTAATGGGGCCTTGGCTATATGAAAGCTTCCTATTTTAGCCTCTTAAGATTGGATGCACATTTAGAAAAGGCTCTTAGCTCTTACTACCCTGTACACTTTAACAAAATAATGTACAGAAATAACTGTTTTCTCTTAGGTTGTTCAAGAGTTTCTTAATAAAGCCATAAACTCTATGTATCATCTTACCAAAAGTCATTTCCGTGTATGTGTGTGTGTAGACAGTTTCCATCTATTACCCAGGCTGGAGTGCAGTGGCGTGATCATGACTTATTGCAGCTGCGACCTCCCCAGGCTCAAGCCATCCTCCCACCTCAGCCTCCCAAGTACCTCCCAAGTAGCTGGGAGGTTAAAAAAATTGGTTAATATTTTTTTTTTCTGTATTTTGTAGAGACAGGGTTTCACCATGTTGCTCAGGCTGGTCTCGAACTTTTGGGTTCAGGTGATCGCTCTTATCCCCCAGGCTGGAGTGCAATGGTACAATCTCGGCTGACTGCAACCTCTGCCTCCCAGGTTCAAGTGATTCTCTTGCCTTAGCCTCCTGAGTAGCTGGAATTACAGGTGTCTGCCACCACACCTGGCTAATTATTGTATTTTTAGTAGAGACGGGGTTTCACCATGTTGGCCAGGCTTGTCTTGAACTCCTGACCTCAGGTGATCCGCCCACCTCGGCCTCCCAAAATGCTGGGATTACAGGCATGAGCCATAGCGCCTGGCCTGTAGGGCCTTCTTTATGATGAGTTCCCAGTGCTGGAAGGGCCAGAACATGGGATGCTACAACATGACTCAAATAATGAATGACTATGCTGGTATTCAAAGATGTGTACATCCTTTTACCCAGGTCAGTTTTAAGGGCAAAGACTATTTTATTATCTTGTGTCATTTATTTCACTATGGTCATGACCATAATGAGCTAAAGATTAAACTATAATTCATGAGTATTGAAAGACTGGGGTTCCCTGTGCCTAGTATCTCACTCAAAAAAATGCTAGATTTATAATATTGACTGCTGTTAGAGGGATCACTGTGAGCAGTCCAGTGTTTCATCCTTGGTAACTTTTGTTTTATTTTGTTTTGAGACTGAGTTTTTCTCTTGTTGCCCAGGCTACAGTGCAGTGGCACAGTCTCGGCTCACTGGAACCTCTGCCTGCCGGGTTCAAGCAATTCTCCTGCCTCAGCCTTCCCAGTAGTTGGGATTACAGACGCCTGCCACAACGCCCGGCTAATTTTTGTATTTTTAGAAGAGATGGGGTTTCACCATGTTAGGCTGGTCTCGAACTCCTGACCTCAGGTAATCCATCTGCCTCGGGCTCCCAAAGTGCTGGGATTACAGGCGTGAGCCACGGCTCCCAGCTGGTAACATTTTAAAGTCAATATACATGGCCAGCACAGTGGCTCACGCCCGTAATCCCAGCACTTTGGGAGTCTGAGGTGGGTGGATCACCTGAGGTCAGGAGTTTGAGAACAGCCTAGCAAATCCTGTCTCTACTAAAAATACAAAAATTAGCCGGGCGTCGTGGCACACGCCTGTAGTCTCAGCTACTCAGGAGACTGAGGCACAAGAATCACTTGAACCTGGGAGGCCGAGGTTGCAGTAAGCAGAGATTGCACCACTGCACTTCAGCCTGGGCGATGGGGTGAGACTCCATCTCAATCAGTCAATCAATAAAGTCAATATACATGATGGAAAAGCAGAGTAAAAATTATCCTTGAAAATTCTTTCAGTGGGTCTCCCCAGTAATATAGCATACATGGTTGTGTACTACCTCACTACGTCTCAGAGAGCATAAGGTAACTTTGCATAATTTCCACCAGAAGTTTGATGGAAACAGAGCTGTTTCCTCCATTCAGCATTGTGTAAAGCTGTCATTTTTAGGGGCCATGTACTAGAAAAAGATACTTTTTCTTTTTCCTAGTAAGTGTATATAATTGAATTAAATGAGCATTTTCTGCAACAGCACTCAACAAAGCATTGTAAAGATAGTAAGTTAATTCTACAAATAAAAACTGCAGGCCTGAGGGTAGTGACAAACGCTAAAGAGTCTATCAATTCAGAAACTATCATAATACATCCTTGAATGTCAAGTCTCTAGTAACACTGGAAAACTGCCCTCAAATTTCCCAAAGTCGCCTGTCAGCTTTGCAACATCTTTCCTAGAGTATATATGTGTCTTTTATTTCTTTACATAGGAATTGTTTGCCAATAAAGCAATTTTTTCAGAAGTATTTCTCTAGAATAAGAATAAAGTCTAGATTCTGGAAAAATCCTCTTATATTTGGCTACAACTTATGTTAAGATTTTATGTTTTAAAATCATAAACAAATCTAGTTAAAAACACTACAAAAATATAGAGTTTCTCCTTGTCTCCCCCCTCACAGACACAAAATCAATTCAAGTCTCAAAAAAAAAAATACTCTATGTAATTACCATATGACTCACAATTTTCACTCCTGGGCATTTGTCCCAGGAAAATGAAAGTTTATGTTCACACAGAAACCTCTACACGAATATATATAGCACTTTTATTTGTAATAATCAAACACCAGATACAACCCAGAAGTCCTAATTGATGAGTGATGTGGTACATGCATACCATAGAATATTATTGAACTGAAAAAAAAGGGAACAAACTATTGACACATATAAGCTGAATCTCCAGAAAATGATGCTGGGTTTGAGTCAAACCCCAAAAGGTTACACACTTTAATTGCCATTATATAACATGCCTATAAAGACAAATTTATAGAAATGGAGAACAGGCTAGTGGTTGCCAGGGTTAAGGGAGGAGTGAGATGGTCTGGAAGTAGGGGTGGCTATAAAAGGGCAGTAATGAGGGATCCTCCTGGTTATAGAAATGCTCTCCATCGGCCAGGCGCGGTGGCTCAAGCCTGTAATCCCAGCACTTTGGGAGGCCAAGGCGGGCGGATCACGAGGTCAGGAGATCGAGACCATCCTGGCTAACACCGTGAAACCCCGTCTCTACTAAAAGATACAAAAAACTAGCCGGGCGTGATGGCGGGCACCTGTAGTCCCAGCTATTCAGTAGGCTGAGGCAGGAGAATGGCGTGAACCCGGGGGGCGGAGCTTGCAGTGAGCCAAGATGACACCACTGCACTCCAGCTGGGGCACAGAGCAAGACTCCGTCTCAAAAAAAAAAAAAAAAGAAATGCTCTCCATCTTGACTGCATCAATGTCAATATCCAGGTTGTGATGCTGTACTATACAGTATATTGCAAGAAGTTACTATTAGGAGAAACTGGGTAGTGTTCAAAGATTTCTGTATGATTTTGTATAACTGCATGTGAACTTATAAATCTGAAAAAATAAAGTTAGATCAAAAATAAAAAAGGAAATCTCTCTAGCCTAATAAATTTACTTTATGACTCTGAGATCTAAGCTTAAGAATTCATCATAGCCCTTGGATTCTTTGTCATCATCAGCCTTTGTGGACCTTCCCAGTTCCTTCCCTAAGCACTCCTTCTCACCAGATGTACCCCTTCACAGTGTCCACACCAAAGAGGCTGGAGACCTGTCTGTACAGAAGAATTCTTCCATCTTCCTGTAGCTGCTACAAAGGCCACAACAAGGTATTTCCCAATGGCAAGGTAATCAGTCATTACTCAATTACCCAGATGCAGGGATTCTGTGAAGGAGGTAGATGTCAGCCTTCTTTACAGAGATGAAACTCTGCCAGTTAGGGCAACTTTTTCTCATATATGAAATGAGCCAATAGATTTGTTTGAGGAAGAGACATTCTATTCCAGAGGGCCTACTACAGAGAATTAAAATACACACAGGAGTATCTTTCAAGTCTTTTTCCTCCCATAAATGTAAGAGTCATATTAGAAAATTATTTTAAGTCGAGTCTAATAATAACTGATTGTCAAAAGAATGACTACGATGGTAAAAGGAATTTTTTGAACCTTTTTTTTTTCAGGCATAAACATTCAATCCAATAAAGACATTTTTAGAAAAAAGACATTTTTAGAAAAAAGTCAACCTATACAATTTATTTTATTTTTCCTATACTTTGGCTAAACAAAATATATTCAGTGATACTGTAAAATACTAAGCATTTTCAGTAAAATTGGCAATCAAGTAGAGCTTAACTTTCTTCTGCATGACAACTGAGGATTTTAATTGGAAAAGTATTATCGTCTATAAACAGGAACATCCAAAACATATTTAAACCACTCGAGCACTTTGATTTTTCCATGTCCTTTGCATCTAGATTGAAACACATCACAGGAAATTTCAAAGACCGATCGCTGAATCTAAAATTAAAAAAAAAAAAATCCATTTAGTTACCATGATCATTGTCACCATCAATCCTTAATATCTTATACTTCACTGGTCACACTTAACTCTGCTATGCTGTTTTATGCTTGGGAGAAGACAAATTACTAATCAATTATGTATACTAATTTAAAATGCTACCTTTAGGAGGCATTTTAATAACTTAGTCATAGGGGTGAAGTGCTTCCTCTAACTGCTTATGTGAAAACACCTTCAATAACACATTAGCCAGGATGCACTGAACATTTGGGAACAATTAATGCTATAGTCTACATAAACTATCAAATTGCCCCCCAAAAGTGGTGGTACAATTCTGCAACTGGTTGAGGTCACATGGAAAATAGAATTATATGCTAATTTGTTCCCATATTAAGTTATCATAAAAGGTCAGACTAAACACAGTAAAACGAATTCTGGAAAAAAATTAACTAAGTAGATTGGTATGTACCGTATCAAAGCAAACTGTTTATCTTAATAGATACAAATACAAGACAATCTTAAAGCAGGGGCATTTTCTCCTTTTTAAAAACAAATGTTTAGCTAACCCTAGGCAATGACTTACATGATTTAAAAATACTTTATAGGAATAGTTTTCCCTAAAGGAGAACAGGGGCAGGGTACTTTTTTTGCTTTCAAGCAGAAAAAAGCAATGGAAAAGGGCATAATATCCAAAAAGGAAAAATTTCCCCAGAAAACTATTTCCTCTACTTTACATGTTTCTTAAATTTAATTCACATAGTTCTACATATGAACTATAAAATGAACACACAAATACACATGCGTAGTTTAGCTGAAATTAAAGAGGGGTCAGGAGATGGTTACTATAATACGTTTATGATTGTACTCCAAAATAAACTAAACAATAATATAGGTGTTTTTCTTAGCATACATTTGTGTTTATGCTTTATTTTCCATATCTAACTTTATTAAGAAACTATTGAGGAAAAAAATTTGTATCTTTTTTTTTTTTTTTTTTTTCCTGGAAGGCGTAAGTAATTCTATGGTTACCATGTTGACTTAAAAAACTGTAAATCAAATTAATGGTTGATGAATTTGGGCTACTAGTTTCACATATGATGATCCCTCATATTTCTATATTTCAAAGGTCCTTTTAAAGAAAAGGGGAAATAATTTGGAGGCGAGATGGAGAAATGAAATATTACAGCATATGAAATCACAGGTCTAGTATTTTATAAAGCATCCAGTTTATTACAGGACACAACTAAGTGACAGAGATCATCTGTCACACCCTTAGGCAAACTCCTGAGAAAAAAAATAAAACAATAATTTTGTGTTCTAGAGACTATCCTTTTTTCCATCAAAAGATATACTTATATTTTTCATTTCAACATTTCCAGTGGCATCCTACAAGAGAACTAGCACTCACAACGAGTCATCTGAATTTTCTTTAAATCATAACTCATTTTTAATTTCTAAACAGGTTTTACTATTGATTTAAATAAGATTACTATTAGTTACCATAAAATGAGTTCGGTTTCCATGAAATATCAGTTTGACATCTTGTTCAAATACTTACTTTTCTGCTACATATTACCAGCATTGTTTATCCTATTTTCCTTCCTTATCGAGTTAGATATGGAGATACCTAGGCATAAAGTCTTTAGATACCCTGATGGACTAAAAATAAATTTATTTTTATAAAATATATAAAATTTATTATTCTTGTTTTGAAGGATTTTATGTATTGGGAAATAAACCCATAAAATGTTGAGAATTATATTAAAAGGGGGTAAAAGTCTGACAAAAATGAAAACATGCATTGATGTCTAAAAAATCAGGACTGAAGTAAATTAATCTTCATTCCCACTGAAAGCAATCTGATGTCCACAGACTGAAAATTATTCTACCATAAAATACAGCACATTAAATACCACAATAGCCCAGTTGAAATGTCTTAATATAATTATGATATCATCTACAAACGATTGTACATATATTTTAATATTCATTACTTGAGATTCCAATGCAAAATATATTGAAATTGTAAAAATATTAAGTCGGTTAAAGACCGCATCAAATCAGTAACTATTCTATGACTAAAAGTAAGACTGAAAATAAGAAATGAAAAAAAACACTAAAAGCAGGGTCAACATATTTGGATGTTGCTTATCAGAAACAACACTATCTTTCCTGATGGTTTGCTTATAAAATTCTATATTCCTACCAGCTAGCTGAAAAGAATGAAAAGCTTCTTATAACCAGCTAAAAAGAAAGACTTTACCATGCCCCTTGAAAAAGCTCATTTTCACATTACTCAGGCTTCATTATGCTAAATCAATATTCGTTTAGTCACTGGGGTTATTGACATATTTTAAAATAAAAGTATACCCTTCAGCTACTGCACTCATTACAGGTAATTTGTCTTGTCAGAGAGCAGGGAATATTATCCTAGTCTTTCAGGGGCTGACAGCCCATGGAAATACCTCCCCATGGTTACAACTGTAAATAATTTTAAGGTAAAATATTGAAAAATCAATGACTGTTTCCTGCAATCTGTCACAAACAAATCAATCATAATCTGTACTGCCAGAGAGTATGATTTGAAGGAGATGGGAGCAGATGTAATTCTTGGCTGGAATCTCTCATTTCAAAATCACTTCACATAATGGTGTCATCATTTAAACACTTAACAGTCAGTGCAACTGCCACTGTAACATCTAGTTGGACAAAACCACAAGGAGGGGGAGGAGAAAATGCCATCATTATTATGTTAACAAACATTTAATTTAAATGGTTGCTGCATTAGTAAATTTCAGCTGAAAACAGTTTTACCTGCCCCCTTTCACAGTTCCAAATTAATCAAGGCTGCTTTTCTATAATCTGATGCTTAGTAAATTAGCTCATGATTCAAATTTTGCCCTCTGAAGCACATACACCTTTTATTTTAAAAGTCCATTATAGAGAATAAAATTTGGAATTAATATATAAGATATCTGAATTGTAGAACACCCCTCTAATTCTGTTAATGTAGCAAAGACAAAACAGTATCATATATGTCAACATCATACTTTTAAAGTAAGTTTAAAGGTCTCAATTGCCCAGATATTAAATTTATATTTTCCTTCTATTAAAAAATATTACATTTCAACTTTGTAATATTGCAACATATTTTAAGATGACCAGCAAGACCTAGTCAATTCAAAAATACCCTTGCATTCCATACACAAGCTATCCCATAATAACCCAAGTATATGATGTGTAAAAGTTGGTGAAGGTCATAATACTGAATTTTTTTGCAAACGTAAACTGCTTTCCAAGTAATCACTTTGATATCACCATTTTTTACTAGACTACATTTTAATCGCTTCCTTAGCTGCTTATAACCTCTACTTAGGCATGAATAAAAAGAATCTGAAATTGGTATATTTCCCCTTCCTGCTGTGTTAACCAAAAATACTATTTGACTTAAAGATTAAAGAGTCTTTTTCCTGAAGGTTTTTGTTTTTAAATGTACACTAGTTCTTTTAATGAAAGAAACTGGTTTTAGCCATGTTTCTAACCAATTTCCTAATTATATAACTAGACACCATGAAGTCCTTCATTGTTTTATTAATAATATTCCTCCCCAGATATAGTTCAGGGGGCAGATTTTTTTAAGCCAGTCAAATTTAGTGTTGGGGGTTGGGGGAAGTTGGTATGTCAACATTAGTGAAAGGGGCAGATATTTTTGATGCCTAGAAAAGTATATTATTTCCCTTAAAAAGGAAAACAGATATAAATACCATTACAAAATTTCAGCCTGTATAAACATTCCTAGATATAGTAATTGGCCTATTATAAAAAGGTTTTTCTCTGTTTTGAATTTAGCCTGCATATTCAGTGTGGCTACATAGCATCAGAGGATTGAATCTTTTCTCATAGATACAAATTGAACCCAACTTTTGTTCTTCAAGAATCTTTGATTCTTAAACACCATTGGGTTTTTGAAAATGAAAAAGCACATGGGTAAATTATCAAAGAAATAATCCACAATAAAAGAGAGCCCTCCATTCCATATGAATCCCTGCAACAGCTGCAAAGCAAGCAGCAAGCCAACCTAGGAAAAGATTACATGAAAAATGGAAAGGCACCTAAGGCTCTGAACCAGGAAAAGACCCCTGTGAGGAGCTCCTGGCCTCCAGGACACTACAGTGCCCCATGCTGGGCCCAACTAACTTCTCAGCAGAGCACTGGAACCAGTTGCCAACCACCAAGTCTTCTACTCAAGAGTTTGGTCGTGTCTGGCGGTAAATCATCCAGCAGAAAACACATTCCCCCCAAAATGAAGGCAACAAAGAACTGGGAGGCGAATGAGGACGGTTAAGCAACATGCTAAATGCATGCACGTCAACCACAAACTAAAATGACATCTACAAGAACTGTGCAGGACACCTTCGCAGATCTAATTCTCAGAAAGAAGCTATTTTAAGGGTGCTGAGTACGGCTAAATGATATTTCTCAGCTCTACCAATGCAGTCCATAGCACTAGAAAAGGCAGGCTCAAAAACTCAGCAGAGGAAGATAAAATTGTTTCCATATACCAAATTTAAAGAAATTGCTGTCTACTGCACAAAGTTCTTACATGTAATAAAGGTTCAGGATTACAGAGGAAAGTATTCTTTTAAAAGAGATAACATTACCTCCTTATCTTCAGAATCTCCTCCTTCCAATAGCCAGTACAGTAGCTCCATTATGAATTGTAGACTCTTAAAGAGAAAAACAGGAATAGTTAGCTTCATCTTTTGCACCACTTCCTTCCTTCATGGAATTACAATTTAATTACCAATACTCCAATTGATTTTATTCCTAGATGATACATTTCTCAAAAAGCATGCTCTTTAGCCATTTCCACTAGAGAACGTTTAATACGACCTTCTCAATTAATCAACCAAAACCCATTACTGCTGAAAGGACATGTTTTCTTCATATTTTCAAGAGTGGGAACCCCCTACATCTATTTTACATAGAAAGAATACAAGAATTTTAATACATTTGAATACCTTTAATATACATGAAATATGAATCTTAATAAATATGGCCGATAACAGATATAAAACTCAACCAATCTGCATATGCGTTTAGATTTTCCCTACATTTACCCTTAGGAGGAAAAAAAAAAATCACTCAATCCTCTTATGTTTTAAATTCAACAATTTTATACACGGTCTAAAACAAAGTAAAACAAAAAACTAAGCTTAAAGGCAAACAAAAAGGAATCAGATTGCTCACCGCCTAACACTTTCTTTATATTTGTGTTGTGTTTTCCAACTCACTGTAATGCTTTAGCTCTCAGTCATACGTGAAACCCAATTTCCATAAGCAATCAGTAACGGGAAAACACAAGAATGTTATTTTAAAATTATTATATATCACTTCATATTAGTTAAAAATCACTGTAATGCCTCGGAAAGTATTCAGAGAAACATTTATTTTATTGGAGGCTATATTAACTACTGCCTTCTGTAAAATTAACTTTTTATTTTTTCGATATAAGAAGCCATTTTTTTTTACTTAATAAAGTGTTCTGAGTCAATAAATTCAGTTCCTAGATCTGACCACTAGACAAATATTCTGCAAAACAATTCTTTCTCATAGCTTTTCTTATCTGCCTATATTCAGCAGTCTCTATTTGATGAGAAATGACAAGTTTTACATACCCGTGTGTACTCTGTCACTAAAAAAGTTTGGTACCCCTGACTGGAACTGATATTCCCACTAAATTTGTTCTTAAAGGAACTAGGTAATTGAAATGATTAAAAACTCTAATTAGGCATAAACAGGTTATTTCTCTTAAATAATAATTCTATTTGTATAAAATATCACAACCTTCACTTTGATTTTTAAGAAAAGCACTGAGTTTATAAATTTTACTGTCCAATTATACCATTAAAAATAAATTATTCAAAGTAATTCCATGATAAATAGTAAGTAAAAATAAATTATTCAGTTTTATTTCATGAATCTAAAATTTTTCTATTTACGGTACTCTTGTTTAATGAATTAATAAAAATTTTTAATGATCAAAGCCTCAAGTAACTGACATTCTCTACATTTTGTACTTAGCCTCTATTATCAATATAAATACTTTGGTAAAACCAACATTGATGCTATTTTGGACTGACTCCACGTACAAGCAAACTGTGTGCAGACACTCACTTGCAGACGAGCCTTGGGATGTGCAAGGACAAATTTCAGCCAACATTTGGAGGAACCCCTTAGTTCAGAAGTGAACTTAGCTGACAACATCCAAATGTATTACGGAAGCATCACACTTATCACCTGCACAGAAAATGGAAATGATTCTGTTTAAGGAAACACAGAAAACTAAGTAATACTTTTGGGATATTAGATTCAAATATCCAATTTTCTCCAAGGTATCACTCCATATTATGGCAAATAAACAAATAAAAGCTGTATCAAGGTGTGGAATATCATTAGCCTGAGAAAAGACTAGAAAAATGGATTACATAAATGACAACTGCAGGAGAAAATTACATTCTCTTCTCCCCAACAAATGTTAAGTGCATGCTTACTAATAAAGACTTAAACTCAAAGTACATTAGAATATACTGGTTTTCAATTTTGAAGCATCTAAGTTAATTTGCTAAGCTAAATTGGTGTTTAGGTATACTACAGCTATAAAAACACTGCAGATTTATGCAGAAATAAGTCTTCAGCATCACACTTCGGAGTAGTGCTATGAAAGCAAACCAGTCATTATTGAAAAAGGAAAAAAGAATTCCTAGATTTGACATGTTCTTAGAGTTGCACCAGCTGCTATTCTATTAAGAAAAATTATTCCCTATAAACAGCTAACAAATATACCAAAAAGATGTTAAAATACAGGAGTCAACACAAAAGAGATATTGAAGAGAAATGCACAAAGATAATGAGATACTACCACTAAAAACAGGCTGTACTATCTCAAAGTTAAACCATTATTCCAAAGTATGATGCTATGTTCATAATCTATTGTGAAGAGCATATTTAATTCACTCAGGATTACATGATTTAATTTACTTTCCTGTTATCAACTAAAGAACATTTTTTCCTAAGATTTCTAGAATGTACACATATAGTAATAATTATTGAGTTATTCGTTAAAATGGACAATTAGTTCATATTCCTATTTCATCTCTTTTAATGCAATATATCAACTTTGAAAATAACACATGGATAACACCATAAGAATGCTCATCATAGCTGCCAGAGGGGAAAAATTTTTTTGATTGGGGGTGCTATGGGAGATAAATAAAGCAATTATCTCAAAATTAATGGTCTTGTTTTAGTTTTAGCAAACAAATCTACATAAGTCTTTCTTTTAGTTTACTATGTAATTCTAACCAGCTAATTATCCTTGGAGTCAAGAATGAGCTGTGACTACACCTGGCTTTTCCAATCATATGCCTATGGTCTCCTCCACTTTCATTTCCTCTTTCTACAGTGAGTTTTAATATTAAAGAAAAACATACACACTTCTTACATACACACTGATAGCCAGCTTCCAGGAAATCATGAGCTACAAAGAGAGGGGAAAATCTTAATGCAATACTTATGTTAAAAGGTATTAGGTGTTGGGTAAGCCAAGGGTAATATAATCAACAGCATCCATCTTGCCAGTGTTTTTGCATTCCAAGATTTGGAGTAAAGAACAGTAATATTATTTTAGTGGTCACCCAGGTTATGACTCAGATCCTTAAACGAGTAAGAGACTAAATGCACTATCTTCACTTACTCATCAATTCAAATGCACAGAACAATATTATGGAAGAAATAAAACGGTTTTCTTCTATTTTTAGCAATAAAAACAAGGCATTCCGCAAACATTGTAGCTAGGTACTTGATATGAAAAAGAAATTGTTTCAGATCATTAAGGCACCCCAGGAGACTGCTTCTTTTCCAAAAAAAAACGAAATAGCATAAATTTCTCATATATTTACCTCTTATTACATTCCTGTTCCTGCACATTAAGCATGCCTTCCTCTACGGATTTATTCTGAACACTAATAAGTGTTTGCTTAATAAAATACTGCTCTATTTTATGCTTTCCTTTCAATTTTAGAAACCATTATTCCACAAAGATACAGCACAAAGAAAGCCGACACAGGCATTACCAAAAAGCCACAAGTAGTATTAGTCCATGCCAGAACACTTAACATTAAACTATCATTTCTCTCTAAAACTTCTGTTGCCAAAGTGCTCACAAAATCTGGAAGCTCAAAGACAGGTTTCAAGTGCAATTAAATTCTCCAAAAGCAAAACTGTACAAAAATATGCCGCCCTTCTTATGTCACCATTTATAGACAACATTTTCTCAGGATCTTAATTAAGATAACGATGCACACCTGTGTCAACATTCTCTGGCAAGACAGCCTTATCAATCATAATCCTTTAAGTACACTCCAAAACAGCAAAGCGATATGACAGAAGCAATCTGTTGCCTTTCCTAGTGTTGGTGTTGTGTCTCTCCCACAAGAATGATGAGATCTTTAAAATACAGCAGACCTACTTTTATGAGTCTTTAAAGTTTTAACTGTAAATAGCTATTACACTAAATAAACAGGAATAACCTCTTTTGCACTTGACTGAAACAATGACAACTGTACAGCCAAAACTTGAAGAACAAGCTCTAGGGCCATGTCTTGGCAATACAACTGCGAATCCTACTTTAAAGCTTTAAATGTTAAGAGTTATGCGAAACTGGATCCGTGCAGACATGACAAAGCAATAAACCTTTAGGAAGTTTTAAAATGAGAATATTTAATAGTCCTACGTTAAAAACAACCCGAGCAAATTTATCCCTAGTGTAAGTTTAAATGTTTGGAAAGATACAAATGCAATAGAAAGCAAGGGGAGAAAAAGTCTTGGTAACCTGGGATGGGAGGGATACAGATCCCACCTCTGCTGGAAGAGAAAGCTTCAGAGTCAAGGCACCAATTAAACTACCGCTACCAAGTATGCAGCTTTCCAAACGGAAAAGCCGATGAATAGGAAGTAAGAAGGAGGGAACAGCGAAACAAATGGTCTCCACTATCCAGACAAAAAGTTAAAAGCTCGTGTTTACCAGCAAAAAAAATGAACGCTTTCATATAAAAACGAAGAAAACCCGCCAGACGCTACCTGCATGCAGTCTGCCTGCTAATCATGATCCGCCCTTCCCTTTCTCATATTAAGACAATTCTATCTCAGACGCCGGGTGGCCGTGGCCAGCTGAGCAGCAGAGCCATCAATGTGCAAATAAAGCAGAAAATAGAGACATCCTTAAGAAATGAGTCTTAAATTTGACATAGAGCGGAGGTGACAACCACGGCAACAGAACCATACATTCTAAATGCCTCAATATCTTGCAGGAGTCTCTCCAGTCCTTGACACCAAAAGTAAGACAGTACAAGAAAATGGGGTTAAAAAAACTAAAAAACCAACCAACAAACAAGCCACGGGGCGGGGATGGGGGGAGAAAGAGCGGGACGGCCGGAGTGGCAGGATGATGTAATGAGGATGTCTGTGTGACAGACTCGGGTTCTCGGTGGCACAAACCTCCAGGGCTCTACTCCGGAAAGCTGCGTCCCAGACGAGAGCCGCGGCGACTTAGGGGCCACGCGTGGACTGAGGGGCCACGCCCACGCGCGCCCCCCGCGGAACGCCGACACCCAGAGAGGCTCGTTCGGCGCCTACGCGGCCCGAGGCCCAGGCCCTTGCCCACGGGACGTCTGGTCGCGCGCGGGGCACCGCCGCGTCCGTCCGGCCCACCAGGGGACGCGGCTCGAGGGGCGGACGGCACGGCCAGGGGGCCTGGCCCGGGCGGGGGCTCACCTCTCCTCCGCCGCGCGGGCGCGCGGGCCGCGGACGCTCCCTCGTGGCTGGCGCGAGCCCCCGGCGGGCGGCGCGCGCGGGCCGTTACCGACCGTTAGCGCCAGGGGCTGCGGCTGCGGCGGGCGGAGCCGGGGGCGGGCGCTGAGGGGCCGTGGGGCCGCAAGAGGCGGGAGCGAGGGGAGCAGGGCGGGGAAGCTGCTCCCGGGAGCTCCCGGCGAAGACTCGGGCCTACCGCGAGCCCGGGAAGAGGCCGCCGGCGAGGCCACCACTGGTCGGCTCCGCGCTGCCCCAGGCTCTGGCCGCCCGGGGCGTTCCGCCTCGCTTAGGCATTGGCCGGCTGGAAGCCACCTCGGCCCAGCTGTCCCCGCTGCAGCTGCCGCCAGCTTCCCGTCTCCATGACAATAGCGCGATCGAGGCCCCGCCTCGCCCCGCCCCTTTGGCGCCGAGACTAGGAGGAAAGCGGGCTTACGTCACCAGGGGGCGGAGCCCAGAGAGGCCAGGGCCCAATCATAGGTGAAGGAGGTGACAGGCACTGGGCTGGGCGGACCCAGGGGTTCTCGGATAATGTAGTCTGAACCGGTCAGTCCTCTTGGTGGGCGGTGTCTGGGGGAGGGGAGCGGACGGAGGGGAGGAGCCAACGCGCGTGCACGAGGGCACACTGCCGAGCGGGTGCCGGTGCGGCGGGTGGGTTAGTGTGAGCTCGCGAAATAAAGTACATCTCGCCCGTCAAAGTCAATGCGAGAAACTTTGTATATAGTTATGCTTGGGCTTGCGTGTGGCCCCATTATGCGAAGTTTCCGAAATCCCGAGCTTCCGCGGCGTGCCCAAACCTGTGCCATCCTGTCCTGGTTCACCAGCGCCCCTGTCTGTCCCAGAGTTCGAGTGCTTCCGTGGCTTGTGGCGGCGGGAGGTGGAGAGGAGAGGAGAGGGTCTGTTTTGTATTCTAACTGTGTGGCCGTCGTGGGCAAGGGCTCTGCCTCTGACTCAGTTGTGTGTGTTTGCCTCGCCAGCGCCTCGCTGAACAAACAGTGGTTGGGTTGGGCACTGCTCTGCCCAGTGTTTGCAGTGGAGCGTGGGCGGGTGCGAGAGTGCGTGCGGAGGGGAAGGCGACTTAGTTGAACAAAAGGGAAGGGGACCTGCTCCCTCCACCACCACCGACTTGGCGGTGCGAGCTGCGTGCGATTGGAAAGCCGGGAGAAAGAGGCGGAGAGGCGTGGGAGTGGAGCTGGGGACGGTCCCGAGACCTCCTCGGGTGTAGCTGATTCTCTGGCAGTTCTTGCCCACCACCCATACTCTAGAAAAAAGGCTAGCCCGGTAATTCCAGGAACCAGTGTCTTTTCCCTCGCCGTCCGGCAGCGTGTCGGTAGAAGGAAGGCTAGCCGGAGAGGTGCAGACGTCTGAGGCCTGTCTCTCGCCCACCTGCTGCTGCCGGCGCAGAGGGGCAGTCATCCCGGACTTCCTGCGCCCTGGGCGCGGGCCATCCATCGGCTCTCCCAGAGACTTTCATTCCGGATCTCCAGCTGGCTCTCGGCCTCCCTGGCTTGGGGAAGACGCCAGAGAGCGGTGGGCAACGAACGGCCTCGGAGCCCAGCCTGCCGGAGAACAAGAAATCCGCTAAGTCCACAGTCTACTGTGGCTAGGAGAGCGCAGAGCGTTCGCCGGCGCACAGTCCGCGGCCTTGTTCCCTTTGTGCTTGGGGCGGCGGGACCCGCTGCAGGGCCGGCCGTGCGGCAGGACTGCCACTCCGCCCCAAGTTAGCAGAAGAGGAAAGTTGGAAGAGATCGGCGCTCCTGGGATGTGATTGTCATCCTGGGGCCGGCGCTCGAGAGTCTGAGAGAAAGCGAGAGAGAGGGAGAGACCGGGGAGGGGAAAAGGGGAGGCAAAGAGGAGGGGTGAGAGGGGGGCCGCGGAGGGGAGGCGGGCGCTAGGGAGGGGCGAGAGGAACGCCAGCGAGCGGGAGAGGGAGCCGGGGAGGAAGAGGGAGAGGGCGAGGCGCGCCTGGCGGCCGGGTTGGCTGCGGCCGCCCAGAAGCTCCTGCCAGTCCTCCCACCGACTACACCCCGGGAAGGAGGAGCTTCGGGCGCGCACAAGGCGTCAGAATCCTCAATTTCCAACTTAGCATCTTGGCAGGACCTTTGCAAAGCCAAAAGCAGAGCCCCCCGGTGCAAAGAGCGAGGGGAAAAAAGAGAAAGCAGCAAGGGAGGGGAGGGGAAAAAAGCCCAGCTGGGGCGAGCGAGGCGCGCAGAGGAGCGGGCTCGGCGGTCGCAGCCGGAGGCGCGCGGGAAGCCAACGAGGAGGCGCCGCGGGCCGGAGCCCCGGAGCCAGGGCCAGAAGAGCGGCGGCCCAGGGCAGCCAGAGGCCAGGTGCCCGCCCGCTCGCCCTTGCAGGGCGCCGCCCGGCTCGTTGGCGGCCGCGGCGCGGCGCGCCCCATGCCCGTGTGTGGCCATGTCCTATCCGCAGGGCTACTTGTACCAGCCGTCCGCCTCGCTGGCGCTCTACTCGTGCCCGGCGTACAGCACCAGCGTCATTTCGGGGCCCCGCACGGATGAGCTCGGCCGCTCTTCTTCGGGCTCCGCGTTCTCGCCCTACGCTGGCTCGACTGCCTTCACGGCGCCCTCGCCGGGCTACAACTCGCACCTCCAGTACGGCGCCGACCCCGCGGCCGCAGCCGCCGCCGCCTTCTCCTCGTACGTGGTAAGTGAGCGGGATCCGCAGCTGGCGAGGGGCAGCAGGGGCCCGGCGGGAGGACGGGGGCGGAGGAGGACACGGGCCTAGGCGCCAACACCGACCTCCCCCGCCAAGCTTCGCGACCCCTTCAAACTTGGGCGATTGTCTCCCCCGGCTTCGCCCAGGCCTCGGACTCAAGAGTTGCTCGGAAAAGAGAGCCGCGTCTTGCTCGGATCGCTGAGCTTGCGGGAAGGGGTTCTGTGGGGAGAGGTAGCTGCAATTAAAGAGCAGCATTTGGTGTAAACGTAAGCTCTGGGCTGCCCTGCAAATTTTATATTTTTGGTTTTGCCATTTTGGAAAAGTAGTTCAAAAGAAATAGACCCGAAATTTGAGCAGAAGCGTGCTAAGTCAATGTAAATGTGTTTGGCCTAGCCTTTAATTAGTCCTCCAAAATGTTGCAAATCCGTAATCCTATCTTCGCAATCCGATTTGCGGGTATTAAATTTCAGAAAAGTCGGTCGAGCTGCGGTGCATCCGGGATTTTTCGGCCGGGTTGTAACTTCGGTCTGGGGTGGTATTTTGGAGGGTGGGAGTGCCTGGGCATGGCTCAGCTTTTTGTTTGCATTTGTTAGCGTGTTGAAAAAAAAAAAAAGAGCAAGAGCCTTTACTTCCCTTGTTTTCCCCCCTTGCGCCCAACGTGCGGCCGCTCCCGCGCGGACCGCAGAGTCGCCTCAGTTGCCCAGGCCTCTATCTGGATGGAGGCCGGGCCGCCCTGGCCAGATCTGCTCACGGGGTACGGACGTGCCGGGGCAGATGGGGGCCTATGGGAGGCACCGAGGCCGGGACAGCTTCAGGGGCCCCAGAAGGACCTGACCCAGGAATTGAGGTCCCCGCTGCCTTCTGAGGAGGGGGAGGAGTTGCTCCTAGGTCTGAACCCCGCCAGCCTTGCCCCAGAGGAAGCTGGAATGCGGGCCTCGTCCGCCCACAGACCCCGGGGAGCGCAGGGAAAAGGGTGCTTCGGTCGTTCCGATGGCAGTGGAGACCAAGGCCCACACTCACCTCTCTGCGTCTCCACCGCAGGGCTCTCCCTACGACCACACACCCGGCATGGCGGGCTCCTTGGGGTACCATCCCTACGCGGCGCCCCTGGGCTCGTACCCTTACGGGGATCCAGCGTACCGGAAGAACGCCACAAGGGACGCCACGGCTACGCTCAAGGCCTGGCTCAACGAGCATCGCAAGAACCCCTACCCCACCAAAGGCGAGAAGATCATGCTGGCCATCATCACCAAGATGACCCTCACCCAGGTGTCCACCTGGTTCGCCAACGCGCGCCGGCGCCTCAAGAAAGAGAATAAAATGACGTGGACGCCGCGGAACCGCAGCGAGGACGAAGAAGAGGAGGAGAACATTGACCTGGAGAAGAACGACGAGGACGAGCCCCAGAAGCCCGAGGACAAGGGCGACCCCGAGGGCCCCGAAGCAGGTTGGTGGACACGGGAACGGGCGTGTTGGGCGGGAGTAAAAAGGAAAAGAGAGACCTAGAGGGGGCGCGCACGGGGCCTGGAGGTTGGGAGCAGGGGTCTCTACCTTTGCGGGCGGGAACCGGGTCCCGCCGCGCGGCCACTGCGCCTCTGACAGCCTGGGTTTCACCCGCAGGAGGAGCTGAGCAGAAGGCGGCTTCGGGCTGCGAACGGCTTCAGAGACCACCCACCCCTGCCAGCAAGGAGACCGAGGGCAGCCTCAGCGACTCGGATTTTAAGGAGCCGCCCTCGGAGGGCCGCCTCGACGCGTTGCAGGGAGCCCCCCGCACCGGCGGGCCCTCCCCGGCTGGGCCAGCGGCGGCGCGGCTGGCGGAGGACCCGGCCCCTCACTACCCCGCGGGCGCGCCGGCGCCGGGCCCTCATCCAGCCGCGGGAGAGCTGCCCCCGGGTCCCGGCGGGCCTTCGGTTATCCATTCGCCGCCTCCGCCGCCGCCTCCGGCGGTGCTCGCCAAGCCCAAATTGTGGTCTCTGGCAGAGATCGCCACATCCTCGGACAAGGTCAAGGACGGGGGTGGCGGGAGCGAGGGCTCTCCATGCCCACCGTGTCCCGGGCCCATAGCTGGGCAAGCCCTAGGAGGCAGCCGTGCGTCGCCGGCCCCGGCGCCATCGCGCTCGCCCTCGGCGCAGTGTCCTTTTCCAGGCGGGACGGTG